TCCGGGTGTCCCGTGTGCAACCCGACCCAGGGTGGCCGGGCGGGGCAGCAGCTATCGGCCGGCCCACCTGGGCGTCCCATGTGCAACCCGATGCAGGGTGGCGGGGCGGGACAGCATGGCTCCTCTGTCACCCCAGCTTCCTCATCACAGCTCCCTTGGGGACCTAAGCCTTTAGTCAGACATCCCGAGGGCTCCCAGGCTGCCAGAAGGATGTCTGACTGCAAGCTTAGGCCTGATCCCCCGGGGAGTGGGCCTAAGTCGACAGGTGGACATCCCCCAAGGGGTCCTGGACTGCAAATGGGCACAGGCCAGGCTGAGGGACTCCCCTCCCCACCCCTGAGTGCACAAATTTTTGTACACCGGGCCTCTAGTGGAAAATATAAAAGAGAACCAAATGGATATTCTAGAGATGAAAAATACTAAGCCTCAAACATTCACTAGATAAAAACCATTACAGATTACATACTGTGGAAAAAAATCAAAAAAGTTAGACACACAGTAATATAAACTTTAGCCAAAATAGAAACAGAGAGAGAAAAAAGTGTGTGGAGGGAAAGGGGGCAAGGAACAAAGCTGCAGCAACCTGTGGAAAAATATCAAATGATCTAACACATGTATAATTAGAAAAGGGGAAGGAGGTGTAGAAAAATTATTTGAAGAAATAATGGCCCCAAAGTTTCCAAATTTGATGAAATCTCTAAATGAACAGATAAAAAAACTTCAATGAATCAAAGCATAATAAACACAAAGAAAATCACATAAAGGCATATTATAATTAAATTCCTAAAAATCATAGAACTCATGATAGAGGAAACCTCAAAAGTGGTCAGAGGAAAAAAGGACACATTATGCCCAGAGGAACAAAAATAAGGAATTACCATAGACAACTTTAAAGTGCTGAAAGAACAAAAACTTTTAACACAGGATTTTATATCCATTGAAAATATCTTTCAGAAATACTTTTCAGAGCTCTCTGTCCCCCCTCCAAAAAAGCACAGAATTTGTTTCCCAATAGACCTATACTATAAAAAATGTTAAGGACACTTTTCAAGCAAAAGGAAAATGTTATCAGATGAAAACCTGGATCTACACAAAGAAATGATGAATACCAAAAGAGATTAATATGTGGGTAGATAAAACTTGCTTTATGTTTCTTGATTTCTTTGAAGGAAAAATATCTGTTTAAAAAAAAATAACAATGTGTAGTAGGATTTATAAAGTGTTATTAAAAAACATATGTAGGACTATAATGTATGAAATAGTACAAAGGGAAAAAATGAAAAAATATTATTGCAACGTAGTAACATTATATGTGAAATAATATAATATTTAAAGGTAGGCAAAGATTTCTTTAGACACAAAAAGTATGAACCATAAAAAAAATTATAAAATGCATTTCATCAAAATTAAAAAATTTTGCTTTATATTTATTACTTTTAATAAATATTTTTTTTATTTCAGAGTGGAAGGGAAAGGGTAAAAGAGATAGAAACATCAATGATGAGAGAGAATCATTGATTGGCTGCCTCCTGCATGCCCTCCACTGGGGTTCAATCTCTGTCCCTCTCCCTTCCTCTCTCTAAAAAAATCAATAAAAACATATTTTTAAAAATCTTAGAATTATAGAAGCTCCTTGTGAAAGCAAGATAGAAAGACTTCATGAGACACAAAAATTAATTTGACAAAGTAAAACACAAAAGCTCTTTATCTTGTGATTAAAATCAAAGACAAGTCACAGACTATGAAATGGTATCTGTCAGACTGAAGGTAAAAAAGACTATTAGCATTCAGAATATATATTTTAGAATGACAAAAAGAGAGAGAGAGAAAGAAAAAAATAGGTAAAGGATAGAAAAAATCTTTCACCCAAGAAGAAACCCACATAACCAATAAATAGCAATAAGATTCCTTTCCAGATTAGAAAAATTAAAAAACTTGATGAAACCAAGTATCAGTAAGGAAATGGTCAAATAGAAGTATAATGCTAATGGGTTTGTGAATTGCT